GTTCTCCTGTAGAATACTGCAATGCCCTAAACCTGCTCCTTTTCACCATACTTCAGCAGCTCTTTATGCTTGTGCAGTAGAGACACAGTAGCACCAACAAAAACTGCAATGAGGAGCAGATGCTATACTCCATACCAGAGCAAGGATATTCTTGTGGAAGTAAGTTTTCTTCTGCACGTAGTGTTTCCTCGCTCTGGGAGAGTCACATCTGACACTGAATTAGCAGCAGCAAAGGCACGTTGCTTGCTTTCATTTATTCAAAATGACTCTGCCTGGTTGTTTTAAGCAGATTACACCATTTTATCTTTGCTACTTTCTGGGTAGAGGGATGCAATTTACTGTACTGGCAAATGGGTAAGCCGAAGCCCACTACCAGTTTGTCCAATGCGCCTCATCATTTCATCCCATTACCTATACTCTTTATGGTGTCATTTTAGTCCTGATGTGGCATGCAGATAAAATACTGAACAGATTCTAAGACAGATTATTACACCAACAGAAGGTTCAAAAGACTTTTTTGGAAGCAGGTTGCCTTTGGTATTTTGAACTACACAGAACTTAAGAACAAACATTCGTGGCATCAGAACTCTATCTTCCTCTGGTGTACGGCATCTGTGAATTTTGATTTACTACACACCACCAGCTTTACTAACTACCCCCGCGCCTTTTTTTAAAAAAAAAGCACAGGAGCCAATACATACACGAAACATTACTGAAGGGTAGCAGAGCCATTCTGTCTTGCGTCCAAGTGATTGCCACGGTAAATCCAAGATCAGTACTACATTCTTTGAAGACCAGGCTTTGCCCTCATGTCTTAAGTTTCTTTACTGAAATAATAAGATCATCAGTTATGTACTAGAAATAGGACCACTTGGAATCTTTCACATGGTGTTATGATGTCCCTTCCCATTCGACCAGTTGCAAGACTGACCATGATAAAGCAGGCCAGAATTTCCGCTATCCTGTCTCCTGAGCATGGTGCTGGATATTCCAAAGGCATGCAGCATCAGCTAGACAAAGTGATATAATTCACCAAGAACAGGAAGGGGTTTCCTAACTGCCATAAATGATTAACACAGGGAGCATAGACCATAAACCATGAATTAATTTCAATTCATGAAATACCTAACCACTGCTCTATGCTAATTCTGTTGCACCGACTTTTATTATATGTTTGAAAAATTAGTTTCATATGCTAATTTTGTGTACTAATTTCAAATACTATTTTACTGTAAAAGGGTGAAGGCAGCTACTGCTGTTTACACATGTAAAATACACACTTAAAAGGCTGCAAAACCAGTTACCACAATTTCATCTTGTGACAACTAATATAAGTAAACACCAGGCTACCTCCAAAGCAGTCCCTTAATCATTGAAGATGGCTTCTTCTCCAGTCTGCCACCTTCACAGCCTTGATTGACAGTCATTGCTCCAGAATCCAAAGAAAGTCATTTGCCAGAGTGGCTAATGCAGGGAGCGATTGTGTGGAAGATCCAAATTCACTAATCTGAGAAAAGCGAGACTGATGCAGACACTTACCTGTACAGGTTTTCAAGTCTCAGATATTTTATCTAAGGCCACCCCTTCCATAGACAGCAGCCATGTTCTTTGGAGAACTTTATTAAAATATATCCAAGAAGTAATCAAACATTTTCTAATGAGACAGGAGAGAACTGAAGTGAGAAAAACATCTGTACAGAGGACAGTGCTGTAAGTTTTTGTTTACATGCTTTATTTCAATGTTTCACAGTTTAGTCATTGTCTACAAAAATATATTTCTGAAACTCTGAGTCCTCTATAAAAAAGCTGGTCAGCAGCAGTGACCCTGACAAACAGGATGTACCTTGGGACAGCGTGAGCACCTCCTGTAAGCAGATTAGTGCAGCTAGGGCACTCCTGCCTCAACCTGGGAGACTTCTGTTCTTTGGGATTAAAGCTCTGTGCTAGTTCCGAAGGAAGGCATTAAAAAAAAAAAATCCTTCCACTTCTGTATACTGCACTAAGCTTGGGAGGGGGAGCTGCAAGTCAGTGTATCACAGGAGAGAGTGCTAACAAAGGACTTAGCACTCAGGGGATGGAGAAGACCACAGGGTACTTTAGTACTGGTAAATCTTTCCTTGAGCTATCTGGCGAGAATAGGTTCAGTCTATAAACAGAGGTACAAATGGCATACAAACAGAGTAATCCTATAAGCACAAAGAGAGTCCTTCTTTGAGGTCATGATAAGGGTCTGTCCATTTTTACCTCGACATTTTCTGCTGTGGCTTTAATCAAGGGGAAAATTGCCTTCATATCCAATCACAAACCTACAGAGTGTTGGACAGAACAGAGCTACTATCAATGCTATCAGCTTCAACTCCTTAGTATCCATAACTGGAAATGTTTCTTATTACATCAATTATTTAACTGCTATGCTTACTAGTCACCAGTATATCTAGGCACCCAAAACAAGAACTGAGAAACTTAAGTGTCCCCCAGATGAGATCTTTCCACTCTTCCTCTGCTGAGTTATATGATTGGCCTATAGAGATTCCTGCAGTTAAGAAAAAAAAAAAAAAAGAAAATTGCTGCCTCTTTTAAAAAAATAAATCTTGCACCGTGCTCTAGAAGAGACAAGGTCAATGTATCAATAATCCTCTCTATTCAAAAAGCTCATAATTAGAAGCCCCTTACTATAAAATAATCTCAGACCTGAACCTCAAAGCACTGCAGGAATTTTCAGCAGCAAATAAGGAAACAGTAGTTGCTGACAGACTGCTTCCCTAATGTGGTAATAGACAGAAGATGAACTCTCAGTCCCTGAAAACTTTTCCCCATCTGCCTGCCAGAAGAACAGCTTTCTGAGCTAGTAGCTTGTAAAATTTAGATTTCCTAGAGGTTGGAGAACTCAGGAAAGTGCCGCTGGTTATTTTGGGTACAGCTACAATCAAAGTGCTTCTGAACTCTAGGCTTTTGTTCAGAAAAAGTTCTCCTGTAACTTGTGCCTATCACCAGTCCCGGTCTGATCTGCTAAACCTGAGCAGCCAAGGAGGTATATGAATTTTAAATAGAATCAGCATCATCCATGAAAACACAGAAGCCAAGAACCTTCACCGAGACAAAATACCTTATCAAAAAAGACACTCAGCACTAGAGAACTAATATCATCTCACTAATGCTAAACAGTTAAAGTGTAAAATCTATAAGAAAACACTTGAAGTTTACTTCTTGCCTATTTTCCTTTCTTGGATTGCTGGGAGGGGAGGGGAAGGATAGTAGAGTGATGGAAAAAGGAATGAATCACTTCACTCTATCAGTAGTAAGCCATTATATGAAGGCAGTACTGGAGAAAAAATTAAAACCAGGAAAAAATCTGAAAACTTAGTGACTCCGAAAGCTTTCTTCAGCTTCCCAAACTGTAAACAGCCTAAACAGAGGATTTTGTCCACACCTCAAGGTGTATTTCCAGTCTGTTCCCAGCTGTTCAGCTTCCAGTCAGACACACAGAGGGAAGTATTAAGGGAGGCAGACAAACCCACACATAGGGTATGCCTCTCATACAGCACCTACTTTAATTTAATCTCTACACAACATGAACAAATCAATCAGGAATTGTTACATCCTGTGCATGGTAAGGCTATAACTAAAGTGTAACAAGATGAAATTAAAGGAAGATATGGAATTCAGGAAAAATCTTCTCCTGTGGAACCTGTTTTGCTGAAGACTCCATACCCTTTCATATTCAATCATTTGGGAAATGGGAAAAGACTTTAGAGCAACAATCCTGCCTTGGCTTCAGATGACAAGCTAAGAGTGTTCTTTCTCCTTTAGTATCGCAAACCTTTTTCATGTGAAAAACAGTCTTGCCCTGCCCACTGTTGGAGATGCAGTATATGCTAGCAGAGCTAAAGGAATTTGGTCAACTGTTAAAAGCTGCCTTCTCTATCAGCACAGAGACAAGTGTCACTAGCACTGGTATGTTACTTCTAGTTGATGCAGTTATGCAAAAAAAAAAAATCTGAGGCACAAAGCTTGGAATTCTAACATGGTAGATACCTTGTGGATGAACACCTCCATTAGACTGTGAGGTATATGTGCGTGAGGAACTAGCAACTGCAGCTGCAAGTTATTGCTACTTACTGTCTCCCAGTGCAAGTTTTTCCCCATTTCTGCATTCTCTTGCCTGCTCCGAGTTACAGACTCCAGGGTGAACTGTTCTGAAGCCTCACAAACACAGTGGCCACCAGAACACACTTCATGACATTTTAATCCCTTCCGAATTATTTACAAGGCTGGCTTTGAGACTGTTACTTTTAACTTCAGATCTAGTACTGCACAGACAAAACTTTGTATGGTGAAGAACTAGAAATGCCTGCGGTATGTCTGTTCTCACAGGAAACCTTAATTAAAATGAGGTAACACCCAGAGCTGAGCCTAAGCTGCATTCTACCAAGAGCATAATAAAGACAATATTCACAACTTCTCCAATTCACTAATATTTTTCTAATACTCCCCATGGCTACACTTAGAGAGGTTCAGCCAAATTAAAATTAAGCTACAAGTCACAACTGACAAGTGTGCACTGAAGTCTGGTGTTAGGAACAGAGGGCCACCCCTGATCAGGCACCTCCACTTTTGTTTTCATGTGCACAAGGACAATTCCCTGTCACAGACAACTGAGGCAGATATATGGGAAAAATCATTGGTTAAACCAAGCATTTCTGAGGGGAGACAAGGTCACTGCTGCCCTGCCCCAGAGAAGGGGATTAAAACTAAAGGGTTACGAAATAAAGGCAAGAGCTAAAGTTTGCCAGTAATGAAATGCATTCTCCTGTCCTGTATGAACAGCAAATAGTCTCTGTAGGGTGTTAAAGAAGGTCCTAGAAGGAGATACTCTCCTACTTTTTCTGCTGCCAGAGGAGAGGAGAGGAGAGGAGAGGAGAGGAGAGGAGAGGAGAGGAGAGGAGCGGAGAGTGGGCGGCAGG